TTTCATTATTATTTTATGTTTATTTGTTATTATTATTATATTATATTTCACATTTTTAAATTATATCGATTTTAACACTATTTTCTTAATACTTCTACTTCTTAATCTAAATGTAATAAACGTAATTTGATTTGTGCTATCCATTTTCATTCATAAACTTCTCAAAACGGGAAGTATTGTTTAAATTTTAATTGACTATTTTGTCTACAATAATTTTAACTTAAGATTTATAATTAGCGAACTCCAACACAACGGAAGATTAGCCTTGGTATAGAAATTGGTAACTTTTATGTACATGGGGGTGCCATATTGGATCCGCCATTTTCTTTTTTGGATATTTCAAGTTCAGATTCGTAATCAGTTATCCAAAAAACCCCGGAATACCCATTTCTACCTAAATTAGAACACATTTTGAGGTTTTGGCCACGTTTTGACGATTTGGGACCACTGTGCGACGTTCGCTTTCGTAAGGGTTCTCAATTCTTACTTTCATTGTTTAAATTTGTTTTCATCCATCCACTCTCTCATACTATCGTTACAATCAGGTAAAGATGATCCTTGTTGGACCGGCTGACGCTTTGTGCAACAGAGTGAGAAAGAGGTTTTTAACAAAAGAGTTATTACGATTTTCCCGTTTCTACGCAGTTAGCAAGGGAAATTCCCGAAATGCGAAGCACTGACTAACTGCGTAGCGCTGGTGTTATTGCTACGGCTCTCTCTCTCTCTCTCGAGCTAACCCGAGTTTTTGTGCGTATTACTGTCTTGTTACAATGGCTGGCGACGATAGTTTCAAGGAGGGTCACGTAAACTGTTGAAAAGAATTAAGCTCTAACTCTTCCTTATACGCCCCTTACATGAGAGATTCTCGTAACCCAAAAAGGCTTGATAAGGAACGCAAGGCGGATAAATTTCAAATTTTCCGCCGGGACGTAACAGACCTGTTTATGAAGATAACTGTAATTCGTTGGTGCCCGTTTTTCACTTTGAGGGAGATATCAACCCTTTTATCCGAACCGCCCTTTCTATATACATGCTTATAAATCATAAACAAGAAGATATAAAAAAATAGTTGAAATAAAAGTTATACCGTTTCTTGAGGTCTATAAAGCTGCGTGTAAGTTTTTTTCTTTAAATCATCCTTTTTGCAAAATTTAATTCCCCCTCCCCCTCCGTTTTGAAAAACTTTACTTTTTTTTCAATCAATAAAAGCGCCTATTTACTATGAATTCAATGATGTATTATAGTGTATAGTTGTTTTAATTATTCCGATGAAATTTTTGATTTAAGTTGTTTGATTTGTCTGTATTGACCGCTAACTCGACTTATAGTACTTGCGACGTTGATAGAACCTATATACGTTTTACAAGATATTTGCGTTTATATAAAATCGCTATAACAAGTTATTTATTGTAGGCGTATGATATATTTTGAAACACGTTCAAAAGTTCGGATTTTACTCTTTCGATGTTTCCTGATGCTCTTGAAAGAGGATCCATAGTCCATGATATTGATATTCGAAAATGGGAATTAGAAGCAAAAGAAAACATTGATTTGCCAACATTTAAAGTAGGAAAGTGGTGGATATTTAAATTTAAAAAACTGCATGGAATAGTTTCGCGTAAAATAACAAAATTTGTAACTTACCGGGAACGTGAAAATTCTTAAGAAATAGATACAGTTATCGATAATTTTATTCAAGTTATGAAACCGAATATTAATAGTTATAGTGTTGAAAATGTATTTAATTCGAACGAAAGTGGTTTTAATTTAGAACTTCATTCTGGTCGAACGCTAGCTGCAAAGGGATCAAAAACCATTGAAGCTGTCGTACAGTCCATATCATCAACCACTCATAGTTATACCATACATCCTACTGTATCTGCAAATGGAAAATTGCTTTCACCGCTTTACATAATTTTAAAAGAATCAAGCGGACAGTTCAGACCAAGAGTAAAAGAAAGTTTATTCAATGTTCCAAATGTTCATGTTTCTGCTTCCAAATCTGGCAAATTAACTTCAGAGCACTTTAAAACTTGGTTTACTGAAATATTTTTAACAAACGTGGGATCCCGAAGCGTTCTCCTACTAGATTCATGGAGTGGACACTGTCCAAATGTTTTGCAAGACCTTGTTCCTGAAGGAAAAGAAGTACTTTTTCTGACGATACCGAAAAAGACGACCGGAAGACTATAGCCTCTTGATGTTCTTGGTTTTCGAATATGGAAAAATTTCATAAAAACTTTTTTCGATCAGGTCATTTTATTGAATCATGACGTTATTTTACATCAACGAAATAATATCATAAAACTCCAATCTCTTGTACATAATCAGTTGTCTTCATCTAGATTCCAAAATTTGTTTAAGCATTCGTGGTAAATATAAAAGTGAATATATAGAAGAACGTTCGGCACGCTATGAAAATCCAGTCGATTATTGTTTTACAAAACAGGTTGACAAAATTCATCGGTGCGATATACGCGGCGAATTAGCTATACTTCGTTGTGCTTGGTGTAAAAAATATTTGTTTCAAACACTTTTTTGAAGAATTTCATTACTGTAAAAGCTATGTCGAATAATATTGGTTGTTGTATACATGTACAATAATATTATATTATAATAAAAATTAAAGTCAGAATAAGCGAAATATGTATAGGAGCGGATTTAACGAACACAGTATGGATGAATGAGAGTGTTACTGTATCAAAAACTCTTACTCTACATTTTCAGCTTATTTTTATATGTAGATTAACCGTCTTTTCAATTGTACTAATACATCGCAAGTACTTTGTATATTGTAGAAAGTCTACAAAATAAATGTATTTCATCATATGATGATGAAATTAATCTTGCAATTATGAAAATGACATGTAAAGCGGATGATAAAATGGTTCTTATCAAAGATCTTATCAACGTCGCAAGTATAAGTTGAGTTAGCGGTCAATTAAATCAAAAATTTCATCGGAATAATTAAAACAACTATACACTATAATACATCATTGAATTCATAATAAATAGGCGCTTTTATTGATTGAAAAAAAAGTAAAGTTTTTCAAAACAGAGGGGGAGGGGGAATTAAATTTTGCAAAAAGGATGATTTAAAAAAAAAACTTACACGCAGCTTTATAGACCTCAAGAAACGGTATAACTTTTATTTCAACTATTTTTTTATATCTTTTGTTGTTTACGATTTATAAGTACGTATATAGAAAGGGCGGTTCGGATAAAAAGGTTGATATCTCCCTCAAAATGAAAAATGGGCACCAACGAATTATAGCTATCTTCATAAACAGGTCTGATAAATATTTATGCAAAGTTTCATTAAAATCTGAGTGTCAGTCCCCGATGTTCCCTTGTGAGTTGCATTGAACTTTTGTTTTTATTTAGGGTTTTTTGTCACATCAACTACAAGGTTATTAGCGACATCAAGGAGTAGGTAAAACTTACATTATCTGTTCTATCAGTTTGGTATCTTTTATAAATTTAAGTAAGTCTTGGATTTTACTGGTTTTTAAGTTGTCCTTGAGTGAAGATTCTAGATTATGTTTGTTGCGGAGGAAATCATATTTAGTACAATGGAGAATTAAATGGTCTATGGATATTACGGTGTCACGCACTTCACATTGGGGAGCTGGAGTTTTTGATAATCTGTAGGAGTGAATAATTCTAGAATGGCCACATGTTCTCTTCTGAGTAGAGTGGGGGTCGTTTTCAGGTCCTCGAAAAAGTTGTCGGTTGTATTTTTAAGGGCACAGGCTCCTTGTGCCATCACCTGTATGCGTGCACTTACACAATCAACGGAAAGCATGCACGTACACGCCATGTGTGAGAGAGACACTCGATTTCGTAGATTCCATTTTTTGTCTCGATAATTGCATAAATGAAATTTTCGCGGGTACTGCACACATGGGTAGACTTCGCTACAGGTCGATCTGGTCGGCTTTAACGCTAATAAACACCACACGTTGAGAAAAATGGAATTTTCGAAACTGTACGATTGAGACAGACGCTGTTGTAAGCAAACAACATGGCTGCCGAATGCTGCGTTCGGCTACATTTTTGCGAATATTGGACGATTTAATAGTTTTTTCACTGATAACAGAGCAGGCCAATCTTCCTTGAACTAGCACAATATCACTGAAATTCGATTTTTCACAATTTATCACTTCTGGAAGATGTAAAATGGAATCTACGATTTGCACGCATCAGACATAAAATAGACATAAGAATAGTTGACTGATTCTTCGTCAGTGGCATTGATGGTATATTTGACCACGTTATCATCAGGATCGATAAGAACACAAATCAGTCGATAAATGTAAATTCTAATTTGACATCACAAACAGCTACGCGAATATATAGCCACAATTAAGGCATAGTTGCCGAAAGTTTTTATTCATATTTATGATCATGTTTTTTTATCAATGAAATTATAGAGATATGCCAGAGAAATGAATTATAAAACTTGCACATTTCGCAATATTTCGCATATTCTATATGCAAAAAGATATAGAAGGCGATATAAATGTGCTATTTGTGTTCCTATTTACATATGTATCTATCATTTACTGACAAGATTTTGATTCCTGCCGGACATACAAAAGGACAGCGCGAATGAAAGAGAGGTAGCAAGAACGAAATAATACACATAACGTACGCGACCATTAAACTTATAGAAATGAAAACTACAAGACATTATTAATTTCAAGAAGGTGAATCGGAGGGAGTGAGGATGCAACAGTTTTACACTAATTTTAAACGCGTCTATAAATAGAAAACAAAGAATCGGCGGCCGATGCTCGCCGGCGACAGCTGATCACGCGGACGGCGTAATGCGTACGAGTGCGAGTGAAAAAGCAAGATGGCGATACCGATGGCTTTGCCGCACGGAACAGCATTGGTTTTGTCATCTTGCTTCCTCACTCGCACTCGTACGAATTCCTCGTCGCGATTAATCGCCGGAGATTCGCAACAAAGGGAATAATAAATAAAGAAATACGTACTAATTTATCATATATTGTTTTTATTTTTCATTATTTTTCAATAATAATTCACCGTTACTATCTTGATTTTCCTAAAGCTATTATAAATTTAATAAATAAAAGTTGGCTGAGCCGAACCCGCAGTTACCTTCAAGGCGAGGCAGCTCGGCGTCGATTTGCCGAGCGTACGTCCACAGCAGGCATGGGTCACCAACATAACCGTTAAGGTGATTTTAATGGGCATAAAAAACCTCCACTCAGTGAGTGGAGGAAAAAGCCGTCAAGGAGAAAAAATATAAATCTACAAGTCAAATACAATTCAGAGTTGGTTGTGTTCACATTCGGAAGCATACATGTTATTTTTAAAGGAGCGCTCTTACTAACTACTCGAGTTCCGGAACACCACCAGCTCGGTGGGAAGTACTGTTCGGATCTTAATAGCGTGGGAGATGCCCCATGAAATCGTACCTGTGCAGACATCGCGACCCTGACGTCTTAGGAACGGGTACAGCCCTCGTCGCATGTTGCTGTTTGGGCAATGAAATGCCGCCTGATTGGGTGCATCCCAGAGAGAGATTGGCAGGGCAGATTTCCTCTACGAAGGTAGCTAGTGCCTCGTTCAGCTGTGTATCTGTCCAAAAAAAGGCCGCGGCCTAGCAGGAACCCGAACTTCGCCCCTATCGTATCAGTACCGTTCCCTTCTTTTTTAAATCGCCGCACACAAGCCGCCGCTCAGCGCATCGCCACGAACTATTTTTTCCATGACGAACGCACTCGTCCCTACATCCGGGCCTCAGCCGATTGCTACTGATATCACACGCCTCCAAACTCCCCGCGTGTTACAAAAATATGTTGTGTATCTCGGAAGCGCGTAACGCGCGAACAGTTACATTGCAATATCATCTGCCGCCGCCCCGTCCCCTGCCGCCGCCGCCTCTGCCTCGCCTTCCTCTTCCACCACGGCGGCCGCCCCATTTTCCTTTACGGTGGCCACCGCCATATACTATTTGTTGCGTGAACGCGCGTATAAAGGGTCCCCTCGTCACGCGGGACCCGTCCGGGAGGTGCTGCCGCCACGCGTTCTTTTTAGCAAACTAAATTTCGGGAAGGAGCGACGCGTGCCGCGCAGCCATATTGCGTTTTGGTAAACGATCACGTTGACATCGCACTCCGTATATTTTGTGAATTTCTGAGTTTTCTTTGTATTTTTATTGTGTAAGAAGCATACCGGGTGTTACCTCGCGCCTCCGAGATCAGTGTGTGACCTCGCCTAATCGGTTTCCTCGCGAATTACGCTAAACCTTGGGGTTTTCGGATCTCGTAACGTCGCCACGTGCTCGCGGCGTAGTAACGGTCTCCTCGTGCAACCGAATCGGACTCTCTCGAATTGTACCGGACTCCTAGCGAGCTAAGTGACTCCTCCGTAAACTTTGCGAACGTTTTCTGTGTACCTCGAGTGTCGTGTCGAAAACACTTGAATTGTACCCCTCGACCGAGCGGATCGCATCGCAAGGTGTAACGGCCGTCCTCAAATTTCTGTGCATCGTGATTTTTAATAAACTGACAACTCTTTTTTGTGTACAACCTCGAGCGGTTATTTTTCTGTACGGACTCTACCCGGCTTCCCTCACTCCCCTCTAAACACTATTCTTTTTAATAATTTTTTTATCTGAAATATAATAATGAATTTTGCTATAATTGAGACATTATTAAAAAACAAAATATAATCGCGTACATTCATTTGCTACTATTGTAGAAATAATTTCTTTTCACGAAAATCTAATTCTGCCACATTTATTACATAGGAAAATCTACGTTTTTACTTACTTGCGACGTCGGCGACGATTGTTGTTTTTCCTCCGGTTTCTCTTTTTCCTCCTTTTTCGCTTTTTCTTCTTCTTTGTTTTCTTTCTTTTCTAAATCATTTCTGTCCACTTCCATCTGTAAAGAAAGTAATTTATATATAAATAACGTAATATTAAAGATATAATATTTTACTGGCCGATTATACGCACCTCTTGGTCTAACATCTTGCAGTTTGATTGTCTTTTGTCGTTGATGCTGAAACCACTCGAATGGTGGTGAGGATCAGGACCGTGTTCACTGTTTTATAAAATAGACCCTTTCCTAATTTCTAATTTCTAATTTTACGGATTGAATTTTTATTTTCATGTTATATTTTTTTTTTATAATTTCAAATCATAGTATTGTAAATGAATACAACTTCAAAACTTCTTTTTGTCATTGTTCTTTATTTTGCGTAGTCCTTAGAAACACTCCCCACCATGGTGGCATATGTTTCTCCGTAGTGCATTTTATATCTTCGCGACAGTTGCATTCGAAGCAAGAAATAGATAGTATCATTAAATTTATTTCAAAGCTTTGAAAGTGTGAAATGATTAAGTGAGAGGTGAATATTGTTGTCTGATAGTGACAATGAGTGATAGTGAAAATATTCTCATGATTGAAGTGATTGAAGATAGGAGAAATGAATGTGAACATCAATTGTGGCGGATAATAGAAGTCGTCGGCCAAAATATACAATCAGTACGAAAAGATATTCTAAAAAAACAGTATGCCGCGAAAGAAGGCGGCGGATAGCCCTTCAGAAAACTTCCGTGCAATCAACATCCAATGGACAAAGATACACCCCCGAGAAAATTTATTTGCCATTGGATGAAGAAACAGAAACGGCAAATAAAGAAATTTTTGAAGAAACGACAGAAGAATTGTTCGAAATTGAAGAAATAAACAATACAGAAGATAGGATAAATATGGAATGCACAATTTCCGAAAATGAAGAATTGATGATACAGAAAATTGTAACGAACGAGCCTGTACAACAATTCCGTCTACCAAATGGCTTGAGTATCGTGGACATGCAGCACATCTTTGCTGAATTTCAGAAAATAGGTGACCATGCTAAAAACAGGGAAGACTGTGGACAGGCCGCTATTAATTTACCTATCAACTCTGCACATTCTTTAATTGTACACCTTTTATCTGTTACTCTCCGTTTAAGTAGATCGATTAAACTCTCTTTTTTATTTAATGGTAATTCGAGTGTGTATTGCACTGAATCAATATTGAACCTCTGTGAAGTTGGCCCCTCATTATCAAAAATTTGAAAAATTGATAAGAGTTCTGAATGCCCCCCTAAGAGTTCTAGAGTTCTCTATCAGTTTTAAAAATAGTTCCGTCGATTAAAGTACCGAAAATAGCATTTGAAGGTATGGGGAGGCCAACTTCTCATTTTCGCAACTTTGAAGAGCTATAACCTTTTTGCTATCAACTTTAGCACTTTGATTGTTAAGGATAATTGATAGAACTCTTCGGGGGGGCTGTCAGAACCCTCAACAGAATTGTCAATTATTAAGAAAAACTTTCATCCTTATGGACAAACAGTATTCGATCCTGCAACTTCAACCAGCGAGAACTTTTTTATTTTGCATCCTAGTGCTTCGAGTGTTAATACTTATCGATAGAACTCTTTGGGGGGCTACCAGAACTCTCAACAAAATTGTCGATTATAAAAAAATTTTTTTTGGTTAATTTTAGGGGTGAAAATTTTTCTTGGTAACAGGCAGTTCTATTGACAGTTCTGGTAGCCCCCCAAAGAGTTCTATCGATAAGTATTAACACTCGAAGCACTAGGATGCAAAATAAAAAAGTTCTCGCTGGTTGAAGTTGCAGGATCGAAAATTTTTTGTCTATAAGGGTGAAAATTTTTCTTAATAATTGACAATTCTGTTGAGAGTTCTGGCAGCCCCCCAAAGAGTTCTATCAATTATCCTTAACAATCAAAGTGCTTAAGTTGATAGCAAAAAAGTTATAGCTCTTCAAAGTTGCGAAAATGAGCAGTTGGCCCCCCCATACCTTCAAATGCTATTTTCGGTACTTTAATCGACGGAACTATTTTTAAAACTGATAGAGAACTCTAGGACTCTTAGGGGGCATTCAGAACTCTTATCAATTTTTCAAATTTTTGATAATGAGGGGCCAACTTCACAGAGGTGATTAATCACGCCCAAGAATTTACACCTCAATGCCGGAGTCCTACAACTCTTACGTTCATTTATCAAGAAGCCTAATGACTCTAGCAACTTACATGTTTCAATAATGTTTTTCTCACAAGACTCGTAATTTTCGCCGATACATAAAAAATCGTCTAAATATATTACCGACTTAAACCCTCTGGATCTCAACATGCTAGCAACCGGCTTCAACAATTTTGTAAAAATAAACGGGCTTAGGTTTAAGCCAAAGGGTAAACATGTAAATTGATATACACGACCTAGAAACTTGAACCTTAAATATTTTCGACTGCTGACATGAATCGGTACGAGATAATAAGCATCTTGTAAATCCAACGTTCCCATAAAGCAACCGGGATGATCTAAACCTGCTGCCGTTCTAATATCTTCCATTTTGAAGTGCAACGTCTGAATGAAGTCGTTTAAACCTTTTAAATTTAAAATAAAGCGATAAGATTCATCAGGTTTCGGTACTAGGAAATAACTTGATAGAAATTGATTTTTACATGGTTTACATTCCTCGATTGCACCCTTCGAGACTAATTCCTCAATCGCATTTTGAAATTTTTTAACCTCTTCGCTGGAGGTGATTTTTGGTACTGGATTTCTTCGTTGTACCGGTTTCTTATAAAACCTAATTTTATAACCCTCTATACAATCTAAGATAAACCTATCCGAAGTTATTTCTTTCCAATTGTTCAAAAAACACTTTAGTCTTCCCGCAACTTTACTTACACTTATCTCATCCGGTTCTGGTTCCTGGGTCTGTCGTTCCTCTGGAACTGCGCATTTCGGTTGAACTGCTGATTTCGTGGCTTGTTTCTGAAGACAGGCCTTTGCCTGTATTGGCCTGCCTGAGAATTTCGATAGCCTGCCTGATAGGGGCTCGGTCTCCTCCCCTGCAGGCTGACGGAGTTTAAATTCGTTCTTGCAGGATTGCTTCTTTATTGAATTTGCAACTTTTTCCATGGTCCTAGCCTCTCGAACCTTGTCAGCAAGGTTCTTACAAACAGGAAAACATCAGGTTTGGTGCTTTCCAGCATTGTCCGTGTGTCCCTGTCGACACCAGCCAAAATCAAAGCTATCCTTGACTTGGTCTGATTATGCAATAGTTCCACCATCAATCTGCCAGCATCGTGCAGTCTCTCCATCATCTGCGCCCTATCGATGCTATCTTTTTCCTCTATTAAAGAGGTCATGGTAGCTCCCAAACAGGTCAGAGCAGCACCGGCCATTTGCTGTCTTTGACGCATATGTGTGTCCCTGGACTTGGAATGGCCTGGTAGTTTAAGTGCTATTTCTGGGTTAATCTCTGGTGCCTCTAAACCCTTTGGGCTTTTGTATTTTTTCATTAATTTCTCCTTTTCCTCCTTTTCTAGTCCATTTGCGGACCAATATGCCCATCTGTTAAGAACCGAAGAGTGAACTCTCAAATCTAGTGCCCTCGAGGCCAATGGATCCTCGCCCAAAATCTCAGCTAGATCTTCCTCAATTGGTATTTCTTTTTCTTCTTCCTGTACCACGTCTTGCACTTGCTTTACAGGCTGTGCATTTTCTACAAACCACAAAGTTCTGTGTAATACATATAGAACTTGCTTAATGTAGGCACCTCCAGCGAGGGCGCCTCCGTTGTGAAAAAATTGTGCATAATGCAGGCACAATAAATAGGCATATACCTTAAACATGATCATTGCACCTCTTGCGAGGGTGCATAATCTTAAACAAAAAACAATCTTTCTTTATCCACCTTCTTTTGTTTGTTATCCACGCCGCAATATGGTGTTTTCCAAATAAACGCATACTCAACTATGTGTAGCCTTTGTTTGCACGAAAGGTACCGATATGCGTAGCCTTTGATTGCACGAAAGGCTCTCTTTGCCGTTTTATGCAAGAACGGAAAAAACCAGACCAGAGGATGAAAAGAAAAACTTTACCTTTTTTATCACTATCTTAGTCACTATCCGACGCCATGTTCACATTTTCTTCAACTGTTACCAGGCTTCCTTCATTTTCTGACTCGGTCTCTTCGCCCTTATCTTCCTGCAATTTCTTCATTTGATCCTGCAGAATCTTAAATTTCTTTTGCAGCAATTCGATGTCTACACTTTCCCTTTTCCTTTTACCCATTTTTGTACACACACCGTAGATAAAAGTTCAAGCATGTCCTACCTCTAACGCACAACGAAAGAATATGAAGATCGGCATAGAGAGACCGCAACTCTACCAAAAAATTTTTTACTCTGAACGTTGTGACCTCTAGCGGACAAGGAAGGAGCTACACTAGTAATCTTGAGAACGAGGCGAATGAAATATAATTAAAGTTATCTGGATCCCTAGCCACGTATGTAGGTATAATCGGCAATGAAAAAGCCGATCAACTTGCCAAAAAAGCAGCAAACTCTCAAAGGATAATTAATGAAGGCAAATTACACTTAGAAGATCTGACAAGGGAAATAAAAAATAAACTGAACTCCCAGTGGGAAGACGAATGGAAACAAAAGGCTCCTAACCATATTAAGGGCACAGACTCCTTCGAGGCCTCCTCCGAATCGATGTAAGCGCCATTAGAAAGAATCGGGCAATCGTGAAAATACATAATTGAGAAATTCGACATTTGACGGTGTAACATCTAACGTCATTATGCAGAATAAGAAACGAAAGTAAGGTGGCATAGTTGCCAAATCACATTATTTGAGAGTTCTATCGCGGTGTTGCCGCATCTGTGACTATCTAGCCGAGCGAGATTTTGATTCCTGGCGGACATAGAAAAGAAGAGCGCGATAGAAAGAGGAGTATCATGAATGAAACAACGTAGGGCCGATCGGCGGAAATATAGTCAGACGCTACAACAGATTCGATGAGACTCTGTAATACATACATATAACGTACACGACTATAAAACTTATAGGAATAAAAACTACATGGCATTAATAATTTTAGGAAAGGAATGAAAAATAAAGACATGTAACTTGAATTATAATATACAATATTTATTGATTGAAATATAATGAATAAATATCAACAATGCCTCTTCTTTCTCCGCGACGTCTACATCGTCGGTTACCATGACAGCCATCCCAGTCATGTGGTATTGAATTTTTTTTTATCTGAAATATAATAATGAATGTTTTATAAGAAGAAAAAGGAATCATTGAAATTCAGTGGCTACTTTTGTAGACATAATTTCCATTTCACGAAAAATCTAATTCTGCCACATTTATTACATAGAAGAATCAACGCTTTTACTTACGTGCGACGTCGACGGCCTCGGATTATCTTTTCTCTTCTCTTTTATCCGACTTCGTTCCTTAGACCTCTTTCTCCTGTTTCTTCTATTCTCTTTCTTTTTCATTTCCTCTTTCTTTTCTTCTTCTTCTTCCTTGTCTATCTGTGAAGAAAGTAATTTATGTATAGATAACGTAATATTAATTATGTAAGATTATACTTGTCGATTATACGTGATTAGACAGCATATTTGCAGTCCATTTGTCCTGGAAACGCTTTCTTGAATATACCTATATATAATTTTTTAATTTTTTTCGAGAAGAGGAAAATGCTGTTTTTAATTTCTCAACAACATGCAAAGATGAACGAAGATGAATGAAGATAAATATTGAAAAAAGAAAAAGTTAATGGAAATAGATGATTAAATAAATTCCTTTTAAAGTTTTTTGTCGTATTTTACTCAAATTTAGATATGATGTAGTTTGTAGTGATATATAAACGTATCTCGAAGAAGTCGAAGGTATTTTGAAATATTTTTTATAATTATAGGAATGAAAACTGCAGGACATTAATAATTTCCAGAAGGGAATAAGAAACAAATTATTTCAGTTGAAAAAATAAATTTTGAGTTCTACGCTTGCTTCGCTCCAAAAACCTCTTCTCGGGAATCCTTTCTTCGAAAATCTGTAACAAATTTTTTAAACAAAACAAAGAAATATAGTATGGCGTCGCGTAACTCACAAGATCGTATGATCCGCGAGTACAATTGCTATTTCATGCAATTGTGAACCACCAACAGAGTCAGTGGTGCTACACTTTACAGTGCAGTGCGACGCCGGACAGTAGCAGTATTTTTTATTACTGTCACGCATAAGACCTTTTTTGACTTTACAAAGGTCACTATTTTGAAATGTGTATATCAGCGTCGAGCAAAACGCGAGATCGTATGATCCGCGAGTACAATTACTAATTCATGCAATTGTGAGCCACC